GTCTTATATCTAAGGAGCTTCCCAACCAGCTTCAGAGCCAGCGATGCCTAATGCCGAAGGGCGTGGGCTCCTAATACATCTACGACCTGGGTTTCCACCAAAGCAAGAGCAAAGGTGGAAGATGTTTTTGGATTATATGCAGACGAGGCCTTTTTCTTTCTGGTTTTTTGTTGCTGTTGTTTGTTTGTTTGTTTGTTGAAGTGAGGTGAGGTGAGGCGGCAGAAGACAGCTGTCACAGTGATAAAATTTGTTCGAGTCACTTAGCTGTGCGTCCGTCTGGGCTGGGAAAGTAAAGGGAAGACGATGCGCGTAGCTGTGGACAAGAGCTTGAGTCTTCAGAAGAGAGATAATCCACGTGTCTTGGAGGATTCTTGCAGAAACATTGGATTGGGAACGTTACAGCAAAGATCAATATAGAAGATTTCTTATTTGTGAAACAGATGTTAAGAAATCAGGAAACCCTTCCCTTCTGAGAGGATTGGTCACTGATCTTGGATCCGTCCATGCATACTGCCTCTCCACATCTTCGTGCACACCTCTCTACAACATGCAATTCTTAATGTATTGACTGTGCACTGTTCTTAGAAATTTCCTGTGTAAACATCCCAGCTTAGCTGTGTCGTACGTTTTTGAGGATGAGCTGGTTACTTGTACTTAAGAATCTGCTGCATTCCCCAGAGCAGAAGTGAGCACACAGTAGGCCTCCAGATATCCTTGCAGGATTTTTATTTTTTATTAGAACAGGTTTCTCCTCTGGCTCCTATGAGTAATATGTGATATTTAGCACATCATTTAATAACTCGTACCTTATTCTTTTGAGCTCCACTTGAACAGAAATAGGTGTTTTCCTTTTATCAGAACTTCTGGAATACTCACAACCAGAGCCGGTAGCCCAGCTTCCTGGAGCAAAAACAAAACAAAACAAAAAAAAACCCCAAAACCAAAAACAAAACCCATTTTTTTTTTAATTGCACCAGAAGTTAGCAGTTAGCGCGTCTCCTCCTTCCTTTTTCTTTTTTTTTTTTTTTTTTCTTTTTACTTTGTAAGACCACAGCCTAACAAGTTTCTGTTGGGAGAGCTTGCCGTGTTGAAAGGAAGGTGAAGCAATGCTTGTCCGCTTGGGATGATATCCCTTCTAAGAAGAAAACGGAATCTCCCTCGGACAAAGCACTAGGTAAGTAAGTATATGTTACGTAAGTGAGTAAGCCTGTGCGTGGCCAAAGGGCACAGCTGTTTCCCAAGCAAGCCTCGCACCGTTCCTTCCTGTGTCTTTGCCCATTGAGTTGCTTCTTGCTGGTAGTGTTCGCTTCTCTCCTTCTTGTCTGGCAGGTGTGGTATCTTTGATGAACCTTTCCCCCTGTGGCTCAAGCTTTGCCTGCAGGCGGTGGGCCACCCTGCTTTCCCTATGGGCACCACTCATCAGTGGTCCAGAGCACCTGCTCCTTATTCTGAAATTCACAAACCCTGGTGTTCAGCCCTTTGGGTCCCTAGTCTATCAGAATGCCCTGAAGGTAGTATGAAATCAATACACAGTTCTTGCAATTTATGAATATTCATTTGGTTTAAAAGAAACACTTTTTAAAAGGGGGCTGATAGTAGAAAAGGGGAAGAGGAAATGAGGGCGGGAATCGAAAACCTTATTAGCTTAGCCATTCGGGTTTATTACAGTGCATACATGTGGTTTGTAGGGAGAAACTTGGTGTGGTGGGTTAAGAAAATAAGACTCCTGTTTTGCTAAATTCAAAGGTAAATAGATACAAGTACTAGCCAAGGTCAGCCAACGAGCTCAGAATCTTGGAACAGTGAAGACAGCTGGTATGTCTTTGAACTCTGTGCCTTTTTATACCATTTGGAGAAAAACAGGTAAGACTGATGTTGGAATTATTTCAGAATGAGCTGATGTGCTGATTCAGAATTGTAAAGATGATGAATCCCTTGAGTTTGTTTCTTTAGGAACCCTTTAGAGCAGGGTGAAATGCACAGGAGCAAACAGACTTGAGAGGCAGAAAATGAACGAGGCGGGAGGAAGCCTGGACCTGAGGGAAGGGGAAAGTGACAAGATGAACACATGACCCTTCACTCTAGCTTTTGGGCAAATAGAGTGTCACACTTCATACTTGATGTATTTCTCTAGAACTTCAGCAAAATTTATAGCTTTAATAGTAAAAGATTTTTTTTTCCTGGTAAGATATCCTAAGGTCAAAATACTGCATTGATATCTTAACAGGGAGGTAATGTCAGTTTCTGTCCTTCCCCAAAAAGGCATAAAACAAGAGGGCTGATGCGAACACTGGTGAGGAGGGACATAAGCATTAAATCTAAAAGTATTTCTAGAGTATGTTTTTGGGGAAGACTATGCAAACTCATTCCTGAGCTTTGTCCCTTGAAGATCTCACAGTGTGTGGAAACATGGACACCTTGTGGGGCTGGCCCTGGACCCCACTGCCACTGTCCAGCATCGGCCAGACACGGCAAAGGGGCCCAGTATATGTCTCCTGAAGCCTCAGACACAGTGACAAGGAAGGGCTGCATGTGACCTGGGGCCCTGGGATATCAGAAACTCCCGTGGGCTTTCGTAAATGCAGACAGCGGATTACTCTGTGCTGTCCCTTACAAGCATTTATTAAAATGCCACAACTTTGGTAGTGGCCCAAAGGGCCCAAGGTATTTCGGTTTTAGTTCGTAAAACACAAGGAGAAAGATGGTAATGTGGGAGAGGAAGAGAATTATGACTGACATCATCGTGGGTCCGGGCAGACCTCCTTATAAGATCGCTCCATACTGGACATTAAGGAACACACCTGGGTATGGGCCACCTCAGGGCCAACCCACTGACAGGCAGTCTGGGCCATCGGAGTCCAATCACAGGGGAACCAGTTCTATTCCTCAAGGCCCTTCCAGAATAGTGGGAAAGACACTGAAACGAGCAAAGATGTGAAACATGAGAAGTACTGTGATAATATGTTATGAAGGGAAATATGTCCTTCCTAGGCTCCCGTAGGAAACGTCTGTCTGTCCATGCCTGCTCCTGTGGGATTTTGTTCATACCTCTAGTAGAGCATCTGTGGTGCTCAAGGATCGCCGCCTGTGAGATGGTGAGCTCCTAAGAGCAGGGCCCATGTCCTCTGTGTTCTTAGATGCCCTGTTCTTAGCATCTTCTGGAACATCACAGCGGCTCCATATAGTGTTTGTTGAATGAATAAATGACAGTCTTGTAAGTGCTGATAATGCGGCAACGGTTGGGAAGCCCAGCAAACCTGGAGAGCTCAGAAATTTTGTCATGTCATCGTAACACTCCCTGACCTGCTTTATTACACCCGCTGCTATATATTATACCCCTATTTTACAAAGGGATGTAAAAGATTGTAGGAGGTGTACACACTGTAGATAACAGAGAAACAGAGCATGGGAGGAAGGGCCTCTAATTTTTCTCAGGGTTATATTCTAGGGAGTGTTTGTGATGGGGAAGTACGGACAGCTTTATCTCTCCAGGAAGAATTCTGCTTCTAGAAGGAGGAACTGAAAGCCCTGAATCCAGTCTCAGGAAACCGTGGGGCCAGCTCTAAGGCCACCGAAAAGCCAGCTCAGGAAATGCTACCGTGGCGCTGAGAGGTAAGTTAGAGATGACCTAAACCTGTCTCCCTCTGCTTACACGTTGTGACTCCCACTGTCCTGGTTAGGCAGAGACAATTCTACCAAAGCTTAAAGAAAGCCTTCTCTTAAAAGACTTCCTTGAATTTTTCAGCAACCAATTCAAGTGTCGAACAATTTACATCAATAGTTTCAGGTAATGCTTCCCCGTGGGTGATCAACGTTACCTAGGAGAACAGAAAAAAAAAAAAAATGGGTGTAGAAAGTTCATTTCCTCCTCCTCCAGATAAAGATCCAAAGGCATTCCTGCTCTAGGCTGAGGATTGCCTAGGGGCGGGCTCGGGGCTCGGGGCTCGGGGCTGGGCCTGGGGAACCTGGACTTCTTCCCTCTCCCAGCAACCCCACCGCCGTCCCCCTCCCCACCCTCCCCCGCCACCTGCCAAGCTCCAAGTTTTCATCTCCGCAGCGTTCCTGCGCGGGCACCTACCTGACCTCATCTTAACGTTCTATTTATTTACATGTTTTTCCGTGCCACCTCCTACCCCAGCCCCGGGGGCAGGGGCTCTCTGCCAGGGTCGTCCCGGGGCGCCCTCCCGGGGCCGAACACGTAGGGGCACCGTCTGGGCGGTCCTGGGACGTCCCCCTCCCAGGCCGGCACACAGTGGGGCACCGCCTGGGCGGCCGGGGGTGACCTCCGGGGTCCGCACGCAGCTGGGGAGCGGCCTGGGCGGTCCGGGAGCGCCCTCCCAGGCCGCACGCAGCTGGATCTCGCCCCTCCTGCCGTCCCCTTCTGGACACAGCGAGGCGGCCGACTGGGCTGGCTCCGGCCTCGGCGGCGATTCTGCCGCGTCTTGGGGCAGGTGCCCGCGCAGCGCCCGCGGCCGGCTGTGTCCTCTCGGCCGGCGACACTCGGGCTCCGGCGGCGCGGGGACCCGTGCGCCGGGCGGCGCGTCTCTCCCTGCTCCGGAGGCTGGAGGGCCCGGCAGGGTCGCGACGGCGCGAGGGGGCGGCTCGGAGCCGGACTCGGGGTTTTAACTTATCGCAGCCGGAGGGGAAACGAGTCCGCGGAGGGCGGCGCCGGCCCTCCCGGGGCGCGGGACCAGGTAGGCGGCACCTCCGTCGAGGTCGCCGGGCCGCGGCCCCGCGCTCCGCAGCCCGGGGAAAGGCGTCCGAAGCCCTCCGGGACGCACCGCTCTCGCGCGCCGCGGGGCCTGGGAACCGCGCACCGGCTGAGCGCGGAGCCCCGCGGGCGGCGGGACGGACGGCGCCCGCGCCCAATGGCGGGGCGGGGCCGAGGGGGCCTGCAGGCGGCGGCCAATGGGAGGCCGCGGAGCGGGCGGGGGGCGGTGCCGCGGGGCGGGCGGGTGGTGGCGTCGGGAGCCGGCGCGGCAGACCGGGAGCCCGGGAGGAGCCGGCGGAGCGGGAGGAGGACGACGGAGGAGGAGGAGCGGCGCCGCGCCCCCGCCCGCCCGCCCGAGCACAGGCCGACCGCTCCAGCCGCAGCCGGCGGGTCCGGGCCGCCTCCCGCCGGAGCCCGGCGCCGGCACAGTCCGGGCCGATGGGCAGCCCCGGGCAGCGGCGGGCGGCGAGGCGGCGGCCCCGGTAGGCGCCGCCGCGCGCTCGCGGGCTTAGCAGGTCCCGGCGGACTGCGTCTCCGAGGTGCGTGGCGGGCGGGCGGCCGGGGAGCCGGGGGGGTCCGCTCGGGAGCCTGCGGGTGGTGTCCGGGCACGGCCTGGGCGAGGACGGTCCCGGGGTGAAGGGGCCGCCCCGGGGGGCGCCTCGGGGGCTGACGGCGGGGCCGGGGGCAGCGCGGGCGCGCGGGGCGGGGGTCCGGCGGGCAGAGGCGCCCGCGTTGCGGGGCCCGGGGTGGGAGAGGAGCCGCCGCCGCTCGTTCCCTCAAAGTTATCGATCCGTGGAAAGGTTATTGCCGTCTTGGTGACACGAGCACCCCGAGGACCTCCTCTGGGTGCGCAGCAACTGCTCCGTGACTAACCGAAGAGCGAGAGAAAGGCTGCCGGACGCGGCGCAGCGGCGCGCCGGGCGGGGCGACTTGCTGAACTTGCGGCGGGGTGCCGGGGACCCCCGGGAAGGGGTGCGCCCCCAGCGCGCGCCCTCGCCGGCTCCGAGGTCCCTCTTTGTAAGACCCCGAGCCCGGTGGAGCGCCCTTCCAACTCGGCGCGACCTCCCTTCGGGGTCCCGAGGGCTCTGCCGTCTCCCCGGGTTCCGTGCCGCGCTCCATCCTCCGCGCCGGGCCTTGCCGGGTCCCCCTGTGTTATTGAAGGTAGTTTGACCGCGTCCTGGGAGTATCCCCACGAGCAGCTACAGATTAATTTTCAACCGTGCCGCAAACCCAAAGAATCAATTTCGGTTCATCATCTACAAGCGAGGAGCCGATGCTTCTGGGAAGAGAAAACAACTCGGCATTACCCCTCTGGGACATATTTGTCATCATTAACCTGCTTCAGTTAAATTAATTCAGCCCAAGATAACTCCAGTGTGAGTATTGGAAAAATCAAGTGCGTTGGTCACGGAAGTGCGGTCACCAAAACATGATTTTGTGTCAAAATAAAACTGTATGTTTTGGATTTTGTGTCGGTTAGCGTTGGTTGTCATAAGGATGGCCCTTTTTTTTTTTTTTAAACAAAGAATCTTGACGATTCTCATACGTTTCTCTCAGTAAGTTCAAAATAGTCACTAAGATTTTTCTTTTCTTTGCCTCTTTTGTCTGTAGTTTTCATTTCTAAATGTTAACACTAGATGGCTTTCTTATGACAGGCATTTAGGAAACTAGGCTTTTTGAGTTGCCTGTCTGCAATCCGGGCCGCAATTTTTCCAGTTTTGCAATTAGTAAGGGGAGAAAAAAATCTCCAGAACTGTTGCTTTCTTTGAAATATAGGACTTCCTCATAAAACAAACATCTAGATTTCAAGAAGTGTCATATTTTTTCTGGCATTCCTAGAGATGAATTTCAAGAGACAACTTGGTCACCATTATTAGTCACAAATTTAAGGATGTCTGTTTCATGTTTTGATTTATTTGAGGAATACATTTGGGGAATGTATTTAGACAGCATTTTCACTTCCCATGTTTACTGCTTAATTTAGTAGTTCACTGCTTGATGCAGAGATGGATAAAACAATATTACACATGGGAAAGTGCAGTCTTTCTGGAGTCTTGGGTGCAGAGACAGCATGGATCCTTCCTAAGATTCCGGTGATGGAGGTAGTTGGAATCCGTATGCACGATTCATCCCAAGGCTTGTGTTAGGGCATATTTACTTCTTTCTCTCTAGTTGGTACTTGGTTTTTCACTTCTAAGCACAACCTCTTATATGAGAAGCACAGTAGCCTGTAGTTGGCCCTTTTAGCAGAAGCAGGTTCCCAGGTATTCGTTTTTAGCCCTTTCTAAAGCAAGATCATGCCAGCCTGTCCAAATCTTGCCTAGGTAGGCAAACTTGTTCATGAGCTGGAGAGATATCTTGGACTTATTTTCTGGCTGTCCTTTATTGTGTGTCTTGCCCAGCTTAAAATATGACATGTTGAATTTGTTCTAAATTAGAGAGTATTCATAAATAGCTGGGAAAAAAAAAAAAAAAACCTCTAGCAAACATCTGGGAAGTAGGAAATGAAATCAGCAGCAGTTTTTATCAGTACCCACATGCTACCTATAGATGGGGTGAAATGAACTTGGGTGAGAAGCAGTGTAAGCATTTGGTCTGGAAAATAAGAGCTAAATTGCAGGTATGGAAGTACATTGGGGTACAGGCAGCAGATTTTCCCCAACTGATTTAAGTGTATATTTTTAAGTGATTTAAGTGTGTATTTTTCATCAGATGCTTATGTTTTAAGTCTTAACCTTTCTTAAAGAGCTTTAATTATGGGATGTGATAGGGGAATTATCAGAGGACCACGATTTGGCTTTTATGATGTTTACTGTAGTTAAAGCTATGTACTGGGGGTTTATAAATTGTTTCCCCTCACCCCCTTGGGACTGGAATGGTATTTTAAAGGCTTTCTTGATACCTGAGCTTAGTAACCTGTCTGCCCGGGGATCTTTTCACCTGAGGTAAAAGGAGTAATGGGTTATTCATTTTGATAATCTTATCTATTGAAAGGGGGGAAATATTAGTGAGCTCCTTGAAAGGGCAACTGTTGGGTAATTGGAACTGGTCTGAAAGTGTTTATGTTTGGTCCTCAAAGCTAATTTAAAAGGGGTTGTGTTCACTGCATACTTTGCAAAGAACTATGTGTTTAAATGAATACTCTCCCTATCCAAATCCCAGCCATAATTGGTAAACGCAAGGTGTTTTGGTGGTTGGTTTTGTTTGTTTGTTTGTTTGTTTGTTTGTTTTTAGATCGAGGAACGCATTGAGTCTTTGCATTTATGATCTCCTTGTCCTGGCAGTTTAGGGTTACAGATCCTTTCAGAGACATGCTGAATTTGAAGAAAATTTAGACTGCTGTTGTTACTGAAAAGCAGAGCAGTTTTTGCTCTGTTTTGAACTTGAATGAAATATGACATACAGTTCTAAAGAATACAAGGAACTGTGTTCCAGATTTTTCTACCCCTATGAATGTGCCTCATTCCCTTGCAGAGTGATAGAATGGAGAGAGCTTTAGGCGGGAGGGACAGGAACAGCTAGTTTCCTGCCTCTATGGCCTGGCACAGGAGAGTCTGGATGAAGAATTTCCATGATCCCTTTCAGCACCAACATTTTAGATTTCTTTCACATTTGGAAATAAAGGTATAAGAGTGATGCACATGACTGATGGTGATAGTTGACATTTTTAATGATTTTGTCTTTTCTTTCATTGCCTTCTCCTGTGTTTACATATAGGCATTGGTTTGATGAACTTGGTTTACCTCAGCATCATTGATTCAGAAACTGCTTTTCTGTTCCAATTGCTTTTAGCTGTGACCCCTTCAAAGGAGAGAGAACAATACAATGGGACTTTCAATGGTTCATAACTTCAGAGCTAAATTATTTTGGTCCTTCCTGGACTTGATTCATAAACTTTGGTTCCCAGGAGTGGGAACTGAAGTGAGCCAGAGCTGACCCACGGTAGAGGTTCTCTGTCTTGAGAAATTTCATATGTAGTGTAACCCAATGCCATGATGCTTTCTCTCCCCCGCATATGGCCAAGTTGGGTGATGAGAAAGAAGGAAAGAGGCAATAACTTGAGTCTAGTTGTTGTAGCATCTCCGTACTACAAAGTCCTTAAGGCCACCCCTTCCTTGCTGTGTGGTTGCTGTATTTTTTATTTTCATCCATTTGCAAAAGGAAAGAAACAGAAACAGAAGCAGATCTTAGGGATCGTCACATTTGTCAGTAGGTGATGTTACCACACAGACGTTGAGAATGAAGGACAACAGTTACTCTCTGTGTTTAGTGTGTTTTATCAAGAGGCACTGAAACATGTTAGACCACCGGAAGCTGTTTGTTACCTGTAGCACTGAAATCTCATTCTACCTGTTGATTTGCTTTCTAACCCCCTTGGTGGCCTGTAGAACAGATCTTTCTAGAGGTGCACTACAGTGACTCATGGAGCAACACCTGTCGCAGCTGGACCCAGAACTGAAGTCTTCCCACTCCGCTTGACCTGTGCGGAGTAGGAGTGCCCTTCCTTCCGCTTTGCATGTCCTGTCTGCAGTGATGGAGTCCACATGCACATTCACTTTTTTGGTGGCCACGCCCCTCAGACTCTGTGAGTTTCCTGTTCGCTAAAACCCCTGAGTCCTTAATCACACGCTGCCATTAGCCACATCTTGCTTTCCTGGACAAGTGTCATTGCAAGACCTAACATGCATTGTGTTTTGTTTTGCTTTGTTTTAGCTGGTTCTACCCCCCGGTGCTTCTTGGAATTTGACTCTGTTATTTAGCACCTTTGTCTGCTCTCTGAAAGAAATGTCGTCTGCAGTGTCTCTGGAAACTTCCAGGTTTACTGGAGTCACTCTTGGTTCTAGTTAGGTTACTTATGCACCTAATTTCTTACCAACTGGCCGGTGTCTCTGCCTTTTCCACACTGGTGTCCTGGGAGAGCATGTCAAACTTCCTTTGCTGCTTCTACTGCCCAAGTTACCCTGAGACAGAAATGAGTTCCACTTTAGTGTGTCCCTAGTAATTGGAACCGCCTCTCCATGGTTGGTGATTACGAAATACTCATTTAATGAGTGACTGACTGATTTAGAAAATAGGGCCCCATGTGACCTCTGACCCCCAGACGTCTTAAGCACTAAAAAGACTGTGGGAAAGAGCAGAATGTGTTGGGCTTTCTGCACTTATTTTGTTGCTAGGTGTTATTTTATTTTGCACAGCTTTCAGGTAGCAGATAAGAGAACCATGATCTTTTCCCATTTTCCCTGTGTTTTGATTATCAATTAGTAGATACTCTTCCCTTCCTACTTCCCAAATATATTTAGTCCTGAAGGGCTTTTTGAGCTCTGCCCATTGGATTACTCCATATTTTTCACTTTTGCATATTTGCTAAATCTGGAAGAAGCTCCCGGTTAGTGGAGCTGTTGAGGCAATCAGAGTCGTCCAAAGTAGGCTGTTTAGTTGTGCGTTCAGTTACTCAGAAGTAAAAAAAAATATCTAGGTAGAGAGCCAATGTTAAAAATTGTTACTGTGGAAAGTCAGAACTCTTGGATAAATAAAAAAA